GAGTGGATTAATTCATTAAATTTGGCCTTTGATTCCGCACAGACTTCGCTGGAAAAATTGGACTTTTCGGAGATAGCAAGCGACCATCGGATTGAATTCTCCACGGCGTTCATGGATGTGAAGGCGAAGATAAATCGAGGCTTAGCGGCGCTTCGCAAATCTCAATTGCCGGCTGCAACCGCTGCAAATTCAACATCCATCGACATTATTAATCATCCGGATCTTTCTTTCCGATCTAGGAAGCCTCGATTACCAATTTTAGAGATAGTTCGGTTCCATGGATCCTATTCCGATTGGCCGGATTTTATTGCGACGTTCAGCACGGTCATCGGAAATGATGAAGAGCTAAGTGATATTGAAAAATTACAATATCTAAGGTCAAGTTTAGGCGGTGTGGCTCTAGAGACCATACGTTCGCCAATTATAGAAAGGCTTTGGATTTACTTACAAATCGATTCGATAATAAAGTTCTACATTTTCAGGCACACGTACAGGCAATATTTGGGTTAAAAGGTGTCGAGAAGGGATCAGCCAAGGGTCTTCGGTCTTCGGTTAAGCGATTGCATGAATTCGCATCTGCGAGCAATCCGTACCCTGGCCACTACGCAACAAATCTTGGACGGATTGCTGATTCACATAGTCGCACGGAAGCTCGATCAGAGGACGCGGGAAAAATGGGAAGAGGATTTGTCCATCAACAACCTAGCTACGTGGGATTCTATGGAGTCGTTCTTGCAAAGGAGGTGTAGGATTATGGAAAATTCGGATCAAGCCTTGGTAACGCAAATACCAAGCCGACAGGTGGGAAAAGCCCTGCATGGGTATAGCTTCATTGCTTCAGTTGGTAGCTCAAATCTTCCCCTATGTACGTTTTGTGATGCGAGCGATCATTATTTGCCAAAATGCTCTCGATTTCTAAATTTGAGGCCGAATCTTCGATTTAGAGAAGCAAAGAAGTTGCACCTGTGCCTCAACTGTTTGCGCAAGGGGTATAGGTTGCAGCACTGCAAGTCAACGCACTGCAGATACTGTCATATGAAGCACCACTCATTGTTGCATTTTAATCAGGACCCATATGTACCATCCACCGCCTCATCTCTATCATCCGATCCATTTCCCAACTCTCAGCCATCAACATCATTTTCATCAGCATTGGCATCATCACATTCATCATCGCATTCATCATCCCAACCTAATCACCGTTCATCGAACCCTCCACCAAGCCCCACAGATATTGTGCCTGTTGATTACGTGTTGCTTCCAACCGCTATTATCTATGTGAGGAATAAGGCTGGAGAATTTATGCCTTGCCGAGCAATCTTAGACTCGGCGTCTCAGATAAATTTCATAACGTCTCGTCTAGCGAATCAACTTAATTTGAATTGTCGAAAGTCGCATACCCTTGTCGCTGGGATTGGGGAATCCTCTTTGAATTGTGATAAGGCAGTCGACATTCTAGCGCAATCCCGGGATGCAAGCTATCGTGCCTTATTCTCCGCGGTTGTGACAGATAGTATCACTGAGTATCAGCCCCATTTCGATATAAAAGCAGTATCATGGAAAATTCCGGAAAATATTTCGCTTGCTGATCCCCACTTCAATCGATCAGATCGAATAGATCTCATAATTGGTGCTGGACTCTTCTTTGAAATAATGGCTACAAGACAAATTCATTTGGGTAGCGCGTTGCCAACCCTTCAGAACACCAAACTTGGTTGGATGGTGTCTGGAGGGCTGCCGAGTGCGTCAACTCCTCAGTCTGTCTCAGCTGCCGTCGTCAAGGAGCCTACGAATCATTTTGATGGTGGCATACTTGCTGCCGTAGGAAGGCCAGCTGCCTTCTTGACCCCATTTCGGAAAAGTTGTTGGCCAATTGGAGGCCACAAAATCGTAAATGCGTATGAAGCCGTTCTGCCCCACGATGCCGATATGGTTGAAACAGTACCTCTTCCAACGGGGGGAGTATGTTCGGAGCAGACCGCCTAATTGTGCGCGCATGGGTGTATGGCTGCACCTGCTGCGCTCTTAGCTTCTCTCTTTTCTTATCTATTTCTCTTTCTCTTCTTCTGTCGCCTTATCTTAAGCTAAGCTACATTGTAAGCGTTTTGATATATATATTGAAACTAAGCATTCGATCGGTAGTTGCAGCTCCTTATTGCTCAAGGGTGGCAAATTTGTTGTATTCCCCATAAACAACCATTTTAATTCTTTCGTTTGCGATCGCCCTATTAAAATACATATGGGACTACGCGCCAACAACTATTCTTCTGAAAAAGTATAATTTTTAATACATTCTTATATATAGTATAAAAGTTAAAAATTATGAATTATTTTTTAACAAAAAACAAGAAAGGAAGCTAACTTTGGCACGCCGAAGTTTATATACCGTTGCATATAGAGCTTGAATGACTAGGAATCCATACAATATAAATTATATATATTTATGTTTAAAAACCTGCTTCATTTCATTCACCTATACATATTATCTTAACAGTTTCACAGATTTGTTCTTTTCCTCTACATCTAACGATAGTTTGTATGGCACCTATATGATATAATCGGCCTGATTTCATTAAAGTTATCTCAAAGTTATCATTAAATCTGTTGAAAACTGAAAATGTTATAATTTTTAATTGTACTAATTTCTCGACCGTTCCTATGGGAGATATAGGATATAGTAGTCCGATTTGCATAAAATTGTACACAATATTGTAGAGTAATATGAAATGTCTACATCTCAAATTTGATCAAATGCTGTTAAAAACTGAAAAAGTTATAATTTTTAATTGTATTTATTTCTAGATCGTTCCTATGGGAGATATATGATATAGTAGTCCGATTTTATAAAATTTTACACAAAAATGTAAAGTAAAAAAATGGCTATATCTCAAATTAGATGACATTCTGTTGAAAACTGAAAATGCTATAATTTTTTTTGGAAAAATTTTCCGATCATTTCTATGGCAGCTATAATATAGTCTTCTGATCCGGCCGGTTCCAACATATATACTAGTGAGAGTATATAGAAGACTAACAACACAGTTTCATTCAAATAGCTTGAAAACTGAGAGACTAGTTTGCGTAGAAACGGACAGACCGGCAGTCGAACATGGCTAGATCGACTCGGCTGTTGATCCTGATCAAGAATATATTTAGTCGAAGGTGCCTCCTTCAGTGCGTTGCAAACTTCTGACTGAAATTATAATACCCTGCAAGGGTATAAAAAAGGTTAAGAAGCTTAAGAATCGTTTATATAGGCTACGCGTTGCTCCATCGCTGTCACCGTCTCTGCTGCCGTCGTTGCTTCCGCTGACGTTCTTTGTTCTTCCGCTGACGTTTTTGTGACATATTCACATATTCAGCTAGCGACCCCATCTCAATTAACACAAGCAATTCTTGAAACCATTAAGGCGCGGTTCGTAAGGGACAGTCTCACTGTCGATTAATGTGTACAAACAATATCCCAAGCTGGCGATCTCGCTTTCAAATTCATGTAAACAAATTGCAATAGAATTACGTCTTTTAACTTCAGAATTCAGTCTTAAGCTGATATCAATCAAATAAAGAAAACAAAACCAACCCCTTGTTAAATTTATTCTCAGCGTTTTTCTTAGCCAACTGACGGAACATTAATTGGGCTCACTTTTAATTTTTGCGGGTTTTCCTCATTGTAGCGTTATTATTAGTTGTTATATTAACAACCTATTTTGAATTGATGTTGTGTTGGCAGAACAATGTTAAGAAAATAAGTTTTACTTCGTACCTTATATATTGCATTTAGTGACCCATATCCCAAATCAGTGACCTCACTAATGAGCTCTAAAGAGCGATCAAGAGCATATTTGAATTATTGAATTTTGGGATGTGTTGTCAATCGTTAACAAGAAAGGAAGCAAACTTTGACACGACGAAATTTATATACCTCTGCAGATAGAACTTCGATCACTAGGAATTAATACAATAAAATTTTAAAAACAATTAAATAACGCCTGCTTTCATATCAATCACCTATACATATTGCATTTGCATTTTCCTCTATATCCAACGATCGTTTTTATGGCAGCTATATGATATAATCGTCCGATTTTCATAAAATTAAAATTGAAGAATAATTTAAAATGGCTATATCTTAAATTTGATTAAAATCATTCAAACACTAAAAAAGCTATAGTTTTTTTTTTGTCTGATCCGTCCCGTTTTGTCATATATACGAGTGATAGTATATAGAAGACTAATTGCAAAGTTTCATTCAGATGGTTTAAAAACTGAGAGACTAGCTTCCGTGGAAACGGTCAGACGGAAAGACAGACAGACGGACATGGCTAGATCGACTCTGATCAACAATATGATCAACAATATATGTATTTACTTTATATGGTCGGAGGTGACACCTTCACTGCGTTGCAAACTTTTGCCTAAAATTATAATACCCTGTAAGGGCATAAAAACCTGGTATTAGGTCAAGATTTAAAAGACTCAAGGACAACTGAACACAATTTGTTATAATTGATTTGTGTAACATTTGCAAACAATGTGAAGAGTCCGTGAATGGGGAGTGATTCGACTTTTAAATACCTAATACTTCTAATTTTTCGAAAAGTTCTTAATGCAGTTGACATCTACAATTCATACATATGCATATATAATGATACAATACGCTTGGTATTTTCCATGTTATTTGCTATAGAACATATACATACATACATACACATACAGTACACCCTGGTGGATTGGATTGGAAATGTATCATGTTGCTTGAAAATTTAAAAAGATGTTTAATTCCCCGTACTCATCACTTCATGACACCAGCGGCCTCGTCCAGGGACGTTAGAATCATGTTTGCTTACATCTCGAGATCTGGTGTCGTTGCGTAGAGCTCGTAGCTCAAAGCTTCGACGCTCAACAATAACAGAATGACAACAAAATCAGCTGAGCTATCTTCCCAGCGATGGATATAAAAGTGAGCGTTGATTTACGCCGGCCAGTCAATACATAGAAGCCAACACCATGCTTAGAACTATTTCAATTCTGGCTCTGCTAGTTTTTAGTATAGCCACTATGGCAGACGCGAAGCCGATTTTCATCAAAGTTTTTGCACCCAATAGTGGTATGCCAGCCGTGGTTGATATTCTTTTCCGCAAAACTAACCTTCCACTGCCTTTCTCAGGCTACTCCACTGGCAGTACACCGACGGTCTCACCGATCAACACCCAGCTGATTTCCAGTCTCATCTCCACCAAGATTCAGCTGTTAAACAGCGTGCTGCAGGCTAAGTCCTCGGGCGGTGGCTTTGGGTTCGGTTTCAGTAAGTTCGTCGCCTTCTCCAGCACCACAAGCACGACGGAGAGACCGGTAACACACTCCACCACTGAGGTAAACACAGACTATTATCCGGATGAAAGCTCCACAAGTTCTACTCAAACCATCTACTCGACAACCATAGAAAGTGCTGTCGAAACGCCGAAGCCCACAGTACATCCCGAACCGCCATTCTTAACAAGCACGACGCCTGTGATCCCGGTCGAGAGCACCACAGGGATTCCGGAGATCCCCAGTACGACAAGAGCAACCGCTGGTTATACCTATCAGACTCCCTTGTCCAGCACTGCAACTAACTCACTGAATTCATTTTACCTGCCCGCCTCTCTTGCCTCAGCTTAAGCATCCAAAAACATCTTGTACAACTTAGCAACTGCTATTAAAAAACTTAAAGCTAACATTTTAAATCTAACTATATTAGCTTTATGGAGTTGCGTTTTTGAGGGTTTTTGGCTGCCTTTCAATTCGCACCAGCGTTTTCGTCGCGGAAGTGTTTCAAAGCTAGTCGCACATTGCTAATAGCGATAATGGCCAGCTCTGTAGGCTGCTGTCCGTCTAGTGGATTTCCTACTCGATGCGAGACGATTAGCATAACAACCGGTTTCTTTCTTTAAGAATGAGGTGGGTCACTAAATAAATATTAACTCTTCCAGTATCTGCTTATACAGATCAATAGGCAAAATCCATGTCTTTCAAGCAAGCTACAAATAACTCACTGTTTCAAGGTTACCCACCGGCATAACCACTCCCGGTCGAATTAAAAAAAGAATACACAAAATATAGAAGTGTGTTCTTTTGTGTCGATTTCCCTTTTCTTTATGTCTTTTATGTAGACAACAGACTATTCAATACGAAAATAAAATTAGTCTAAATGGCCCGTGTAGCGATGGACGCCTTAGTGTGTTGGGTCAGGAGACTACTACAGCTCTATGAAACAAGACTTTTGAGTAATTGATTTGACATTGCAAATTATTATATTAAATGAGAAAGCTATTGGAGCGAAAAAACAAAACAGATCAGCTCTTATATTTCAGCTCCGTTGAAAAGAAAATCAACAAGAAATTAGCTAACTTTGAAGCTAACTTCGAAGTTTGTATACCCTTGCATATTGCAATTCGATCATTAATAAAAATTACAATATAATTTATATAAATATTTGTGTTAAAAAGCATCGAAGTAATGCAGATTTTCATTTACGATGGTTACGTTAGTTCCTATGGCAGCAGATATAGGATATACATTGTAATCCGAATTTCATAAAATAAAAAACGAAATTCTACAATAATACAAATTGCCTACACCTCAAATTGGATGAACATATATTGAAAACTGAAAAAGTTGTATATATTTTTATACTCTTGCAGGGTATTTTAATTTTAGTCAGAAGTTTGCAACGCAGTGAAGGAGGCACCTCCGACCATATAACGTATATAAATTGTGGATCAGGATCAACAGCCGAGTCGATCTAGCCATGTCCGTCTGTTCTTCTGTCCGTCTGTCCGTTTCTACGCAAACTAGTCTCTCAGTTTTGAAGTTATCTGAATAAAATTTTGTAGTTAGCCTTCTATATACTCTCACTCGTATATATGTCGGAACGGGCCGGATCGGACGACTATATCATATAGCTGCCATAGGAATGATCGGAAAATTTATACAAAAAATTATAACATTTTCAGTTTTCAACAGAATTTAATCAAATTTGAGATATAGTCATTTTATTATACTCTTCAATTTTGTGTAAAATTTTATGAAAATCGGACTACTATATCATACAGCTGCCATCGGAACGATTGAGAAATTAGTACAATTTAAGAATATAACTTTTCCAGTTTCAACAGATTTGCAAATTTGAGATATAGCCCTTTAATAATATTCTAGATTTTCAATTTTAATTTTATTAAAATCGGATGACTATATCATATAGCTCCCGTACAAACGATCGTTAGATAAAGAGGAAAATGCAAAACTGTGAATGTAAAACTGTAAATAGTATAAGTATAGGTGAATAAAATGAAGGCAGGCATTACTTTATTGCTTTTTGATATATATAATTTATATTTTATTAATTCACAGTGATCGAAGTTCTATCTGCCGAAGTTAGCTTCCGTTCTTGTTATAAATCAAAACTGGTTTGTTTTTTCTCATTTTTGTGTTTTGTATGAAATCTTCGTTCAAGAGTTCTGGATCCACTTTTATTAATAGATAATTTTAAATGTAAGATTTAAGACTTAGTATCTGTTCGGAGCAGACCGCTAGCGCCTAATCATGCGCGCATGGGTGTATGGCTGCACCTGCTGCGCTCTTAGCTCTTCTCTTTGTTTATCTATTTCTCTCTCTCTTCTTCTTCTGTCGCCTTATCTATGCTAAGCTACATTTTAAGATTATATATATTGAAGCTAAGATTCGATCGGTAGTTGCAGCTCCGACCAGAGAAGTGAACGAAAATATACACAGCATTTAATTAGCTCAAAGAAGCTGGGGTCGGAAAAATTTTTTTTTTGAAATTTGAAAGCTGGAATCGTTTGCCCATCGTTTGCCCATGTTTGCCCACCTTTTACTTTTTTTGCCCACGTCCAGTTTTGAAAATATTCGACTTTGAAAATTTTCATCATTTTTCGAAAACCAAAAGTTGACTTTTTTCAAAATTTTTTTTTGGAAATCGCAATAACATTGTTTGCCCACGTTTGCCCACCCTTTAGAATTTTGAAAAAACTTCAAGTTTAGAAAATTTTCAAAATTGTACTGGGAAATTTTGAATTTTAAAATTTTGAAAACTGGAATCGTTTGCCCATTCGTTGCCTATGTTTGCCCACCCTTTACTTTTTTTTTGACCACGTCCAGTTTTGAAAATATTCAACTTTGAAAATTTTTCAAAATTATAACGTTTGCCCACCCTCTAAAACTTAATATTTTTAACAAAAAACGTTTGCCCATGTTTTAAAATTAAATATTATCGTTTGCCCACCCTCTAAACCTAAATTTTTTTAACAAAAAACGTTTGCCCTTGTCTTAAAATTAAATATTATCGTTTGCCCACGTAGCAATTTGAACCAATTCCAAACCAGATTTTATAATAATTTTGTAATATTTGTTTTTTTTTTCGTAAAAAGTACTTTCTGCAACCGATATTACGGATTTAACAATTGTAAACATAACACATTAAGTGATATTATTTAATATTCAGAGTTGGGCAAACGTTTTTTAATATAAATACTTAAAATTAAGGGGTGGGCAAACGATAATATTTAATTTTAAGACATGGGCAAACGATTTTTGTTAAAAAAATTGAGGTTTAGAGGGTGGGCAAACGAAATTTTTTAATTTTAAAGGGTGGGCAAACGATTTTTTTCAGTTTTAAGAGGTGGGCAATCGTTTTTTGTTAAAAATATTTAATTTTAGGGGGTGGGCAAACGATTTTATTTAGTTTTAAGAGGTGGGCAATCGTTTTTTGTTAAAAATATTTAGTTTTAGAGTGTGGGCAAACGATTTTATTTAGTTTTAAGAGGTGGGCAAACGTTTTTTGTTAAAAATATTTAATTTTAGGGGGTGGGCAAACGTTATAATTTTGAAAAATTTTCAAAGTTGAATATTTTCAAAACTGGACGTGGTAAAAAAAAAGTAAAGGGTGGGCAAACATGGGCAACGAATGGGCAAACGATTCCAGTTTTCAAAATTTTAAAATTCAAAATTTCCCAGTACAATTTTGAAAATTTTCTAAACTTGAAGTTTTTTCAAAATTCTAAAGGGTGGGCAAACGATGTTATTGCGATTTCCAAAAAAAAAATTTGAAAAAAGTCAACTTTTGGTTTTTCGAAAAATGATGAAAATTTTCAAAGTCGAATATTTTCAAAACTGGACGTGGGCAAAAAAAAGTAAAAGGTGGGCAAACATGTGCAAACGATGGGCAAACGATTCCAGCTTTCAAATTTCAAAAAAAAAATTTTTCCGACCCCAGCTTCTTTGAGCTCATTTAATTAACCTATTCGTGCGTTGTAATTATTGCTTAAGGGTGGCAAATTCGTTGTCTTCCCCATAAACAGTATCAATCGACGCCAATTATGAAAAAAAAGGTATGTCCTAAAGTATCGGCCTGTGTTAAAAATCTCGATAACTCTTGTTTTATTTCACTTGATATTTACTTTTTGACAAGTTTATTAAATTTTCAATTTTTATGATGAGTTGGTTAAGATCCAAAAACATATTGAAAGAAAAAAAAATCATTAAAGAAAATTCTCAAGAAAAATCGCCCAAGACTTAAAAAAAGCTATTTTTTTCAGATTGTAGGGCAATTTTTTCTTAAAATTATGGCAACTCACCTTTCATGATACCTGTATCACGCATCTGTAGTCCAGCTCACTTTAAAGATTGTCTTTTTATATCTGTTGCACAAGCGCTCCTGGGATTCACTGAGTCATTGCTCATATCGATAATACTTTTATATCCCATTAAAGCCTTTAAGTAGCTTTTGTCTGAATCGAGGATTTTCCGTGATTCTACATTTTTAAGACCCCAAAGTCAAAATCGGGACATATCTTATCCAATTTATCTGAAAATATATTGGCAGGAAAGGAAGAAAACTTAGGAACGCCGAAGTTTATATACCCTTGCAGATGGAACTTCGATGACTTGGAACCCATACAATATAAATCGCTATATGATAGAGTAATCCGATTTTTATAAAATTTTACCCAAAATTGTAATATAATATAAAATGGCTATATCTCAAATTGGATTAAATTCTGTTGAAAACTGAAAATGTTTTACTTTTTTTTTTCCTATCATTCCTATGGCTATATGATATAGTCGTCCGATCCAGCCCTTTCCGACATATATAAGAGTGAGACTATATAGAAGACTAACTACAAAGTTTCAATCAGAAAGCTTCAAAACTGAGAGACTAGTTTGCGTAGAAACGGACAGACGGACAGAAGGACAGACGGACATGGCTATATTAACTCGACTGTTGATCCTGATCAAGAATATATACACTTTATATGGTCGGAGGTGCCTCCTTTACAGCGTTGCAAACTTCTAACTGAAATTATAATACCCTGCAAGGTAATAAAAGAACTCGACAGCGTTACCTGGGTATTTAATAACCTATAATCGAGCTATGATTGACACCACAATTCAACTTTAATTGGGACACGTCCCGAAAATTGCTACTATTGCCATATTTTTTATTATTTCTTTAAAAAAATTATATAAGACAATCGAATATTATATTTTTATGTAATATTCGTTATGTATTTACATTTTTACTGTGTCGTCTTGAAAAAAATCACAAAAACATGGAATTTTTCGCATTATTTGACCTTAACAACCCCCCACCCCCTCCCCCT